TTCATGTATGATAAAACTATAACACCATTTTTTACTCATATGTATTTTAAGATCAGACTCTTTGTTTTAGAAGTTTCAATTACCATATAATAATAATAATGGGAACATAATAATAGATATGTTCATTCAATTTATCACACAGGAATATTAGCTTGAAGCCAAAGAGAGACTTTACATACACAGTTTGTTCACATGGCAGGGGAATCTTTTATCACAAATGTTCAGATGTGTTATACTTCAGAGGGGATACTTGCACCTCTCCATCTCACAGATTATCAGAGTTTAAGTTGGTTTGCATGTTCCTCATGATGTGTGGCACATGCACATTAACAGAGCTGCTAAACTTGTATAAATCTTTGCCAATTCTTTGACTGCAGACCTAAAACCTCTCTAAGAAAGATGACTGTCTCCGTTACTGGACGACATGCACAAGTGGACACACTGCCACCATCTGGCATAAGCAGCACATTCAAGGGCCTCTAAGAAGCACAGAAAACCTTTCAGAAAAAAAGCAAAAAATGCTGGTTTGAAACACGGACTTAAGAGTTTATCTGTTCAGGTCTTCACTCAGCAGAGTTATCCAGAGAACTCAGGAAACACTCCTCTTGAAAAGGCCTCATGCCACCAAAGATTGAGAGGTAAAGAAGAGAAATGTCTCAAATCACCTCTTTGAAAAAAAAGAGAGGCTATATTTATTATTCTCTCTGTGTTTATTTCCACTGCTTAGGACTGCATGGCAAGAAAGGTGAACCGTGTTATTTGTTGGAACAAAAAACATGATGTCAGGCTTTATTTCTAAAGTTTAGCAGCACTTTGTGAAAGTCTAATGCATCAGACTATCATCTCTAACTGAAAGAACAACAATAAATTCTGGTTAAAAAAAGCTGCTTATAAAGTCTAATAGACAGAAAAAACAAAGTGATAAACCATGTGCTGGATCTTCAAATGATTTGTTAAACTTAGCGTGTTGGTGACAAACTCCAAGAGGCTGTTTGCATTTTTCTTATTTAAGGAAACCACATGATCACGATCATACCAAAAGCACATACACATCATGTATTTGTATCACAGCAGCTACTGCCTTTAAGTAATGAAATGTGAAATGTTTCAAGAGAAAGCTTTCACTGTTATTTCAAAGCGATAAAAACAACCTAATCCCTGCTATGGGAGAATCATTATTCTGATACAATCTGAAAGAATATTATGCAATATTGTGTTCAATTCCTGATGCCAAACACTCCATGAATCCCAGGAAGGACAGTGAATTGTGTGGCGGAGCATAAGAAGGATATCCTAAAAAAAAAAAGGACTGCTGTGCCTTGGATACACACAACCACAGAGTATATCTGTTCTCAATACTCTCCTTTGACTGTCTGCTGCGATATGAACCTTCCTCCCCAAGTGTCTCCACGGCAACATTCATCACTTTACTCTTCATCTGCAATACATTTACATGGTCTAACACATTCAAAAGGTCCAACACATTAACAAGGTGTCTGACAATATGTTGCTGCTATGTTAGACATTTGTTATGAAGCTCTGCTTGAATCATGTTTTTATTTTATTAAACAAAGAAAGGGTAAATGCCTTGATGCTGAACATGCATTTTAAATGTGTGTTGATCGTGTGCGATTGTTGCATCTATTATGTTTTTGGTCAAATGTAATGGCATGATTTTATTTCTGAGTGTGGTTGGTTTCTGTGCGGCCATGTCTGTACGTAGTTATTATTGGCAGTGGGGGCTTCTAGGGTTAGTGCAGTGTCCTTTTGCTATTTCTGAGTGCGAATGTGGAGTCTATTTCCAAGGTTGCCATGGAAACCATTGTATTTGTGTTGGCAGCGATTGGTGCTGCCGGCCGAACAAGACTTCTATTTTTGTCATGTGTCAACACCTGATATACACACTCTTTTACATACACATACACACTCAGGTGTACATGACTGAATACTGAAAGCAGTAACAGACATATACACACACTTAATGCACGAAACCCACACCACAGTCAAACAGTCATATGTCACACAGGCATGTGTACATTTCTATTCTCTGCTTTATGTTAGCAGACATCTTGATACATCCTCACCATGACAACTGTAGTAGCTATTAAATCTTTCCACCAGCTGCAATGTTTTCAGTGCAGGCATGTTCAGGTTTGAAATATTGACAGAAGAAGACAAAAAATATTTTTTACCATGTAATCAATAAGGTCCAGAAATATTTAAAAGCTGAAAGATCCTTAACATTGACATACAATTGTGAGAATTAGAAAATAAGAGAATATATATATTTTTTAAAAGTGTTATTTCTGATTACATGAAAACTATTGGATTGGATCAAATCCTCAAATCAGGTCATTGAAATGGAAGAGGAGATTACAAGATGGCATAAGATCAGGTATCATATAATGTGTTTTTTCTATAAAAATTCCAGTTTGTGTGGTTGAAAAGATTTCAAAAGGATTGGTAAAAAAATAAGGATAATTCTGATTAAAGCAGAGGGCTGGAGAACATGAACATGTTGTAATAAAACATAAATATTGGTCAAACGATGCAACATTTTTAGAAAAATGTAGATCATTTTACTTTGCACGAGAATGCTGAATCACTATTGTGACATGGTTGATAAAGTTGACATAACGGCTTTTAAACGGTGAAAGATTTATTTGCCATAAATATGTTCACCTAACAACTATATATAATAACCATACAATTGTTCATTTAAAACAACTGAGAGGATCTTTTGTTTTTTGTATATTGTGGCTCCCTTTGGGGACAAAATAAGTAGTACCATTTAGAGCACTGGTCATCCAGAGTTGTTAATTATTTTAAATCTGTATTGGGATCTGGTTTATCCAATCCAGTTATTCTTTGAAAACCATGGATGAGGCAGATAACCTCATCCTGGATAGCAACAAGTGGATTTCCAAATCAATCTTAACCAGATGTAACCATTAAAACCGGTTTTAAAGAAACATGGTAAGTTGTTAAAGAGCTGAAGACCTTTTTCAATGATGTTATTTTCATAATTCATGAATCTATATTTGTGATTTGACAGTCAATGATGTCAAAGATGTTCGTGTTACCATCACATTAAATGAAGAGCAGAACATATCAGTCTTTGAGAAAATAGAACCAAATTATTTTTTGCATTTCAGTTTGAAAGATGAGTCACATAATCACAATATTTTCTAAAGTACTGTAGATTCAGATTCATATTTTGTCAATATAAATCAAATAATCAATACAACTCTACCTACTCCTCTGTAGCATAAATGAAGTTGAATTAAAATCTGTAAAATGATGCTTGAATAACGCTCTTGCTCAGTAGTTTATTATGAGAATAAAAAGTGCCTTTAACCTTTAAATTGTTATTGTTCTTGATGCAAAAGGTGCTCTCAAATGTTTCTCTCAGTCTTGGCAATGACATGTGGCAATATTCTAATAAGGCTTTTAGTGAAATGGATGAATCAATCTGCGTACATGAGGTGCCGCTAATTAAAACAAGCGTTTTAATAGTCCACGAGGTGAAAGATGTGACCCATGAAATGCAAATGTTATGAGTTAGGAAACCTTAGAAGTGCAAATGAAAAACACCTAGCATCTAGCAGCTTCATGCTTGCTCCTTCAGCACAGTAGCCTTAACAATTATGGCCCAGATTTCATTGTCCTTTGCAGACAGTGCAATGAGATGAAGTGTATATGAAAAAGATCACCGTGGCAACAGGAGCCCCATTGAGGAGCTGGGATGGTGGAGGCTGAGGCCTGGCCTAATCAATGGCTCAGCGCCTCAGTAAATCTCGCACTGGAGGGCACTTTAAACCATTAAATTACAACCTGAATGTTTGCTGATTGACAAAAATGAATCAACTGTGAAAACAGCAAGGGACGATGGATTGGATTTGAGGTTGAGGTCTCATGCATTGAACCCATTCATGTTTATGAGTACACAGAAGGCCACTTTGCGGCAATATCTTAAGCACCTCAGCATTTACTAGAAAGTAGGCTATCTGTTACACAAGCAAAGTTATTCCTGCAGATTTGCAGACTGTACTTCTTCTAATTCCACACCACAAACTAAATGGAGACAATAAACGTAACTGCCTTTAGCATGCTAACCTGCTAACTGTTACAGTATATGTGAGCATGTTTACATTACTTTCCCTGTATGCTAACAGTTTTCAGTTTAGCAACATTTGGTTTGTAACATGTGAATTGTGTACATAGTAGCATTTCAATCATGGATGAAGCATAAAGTATACTGGGCCATGCTTCCAGATTACAATTTTAGCATTAACTGAGCTTTGGCTGGCTAGTTAGACCTTTGTTTTGATCTGTCATAATTTGCATTATTTGGAAATAAGAAATTGTGATCTTGTTTGAAAAGACAGGGATTCATATTTCAAAACTGCTCTGGAAGATGTGTTTGGTACATTAAGAAAGATTTCCTTTGGTCGCGACTAAGGTCAAGCAAATCAAAAGCATTTATCTAATATAGGGTGAGGCATTGTGTTAAACAAGATGACTGTTGCTGATGTGTAACAGACGACGTGTAAAGTTTGATTTCGCCAATGCTACCATAATAAAAAGACAATACAGTGTTTCATGCTAATAGTGGCTATGTGTTTTCAGCTACATGGTGTGATGCCAAACATGAATAATGCTGGACTAGAAGTCAAATGAATTTGATGCTGGAACCAACTTAACAGCACATTTCATTGGGCTTCCCAGTTGGAGCATAGATGCATTAATCTCTGCACGATAACAACTTTGAATCTCAGGACAACCTACCATAACTAAACTCATTTGATGATTTTTTTGTGTTAGGTGTTGGGCTTACTAAGATATTTTTACTGCCCTTCATTAAGCACTAAATGAAAAAATCAGAAAGTAAATGTTGGCATGATAGTGGGGGCACTAGGACCCTGTGCATACAGAAGCTCCAGTCCTGTTTCTTACAGCCTCCTGCTCCATCTCTGCAGTCACTGTGTGTGAGTGGAGGGGGAAAGCAGAGAGTGAGCTGTATCTTTGCAAGCATTTTACATCAGCATCATTTCAGAAAAATTCACCACCGCCACAGCTGAACTCACCGAGGGAGGAAGATGCACGAGGAAGACCGAGGCATGGGAAGAGAAACAGACAGAGGGAAGTACCTCAACAGCATTCATGAGGTACAGTGAATGATGTCCACTGTGTGCCTCAGCAACGGGAGCTACACCAGGTTTTATCCTTGGAGACCAAAAAAGCAGGCAGCTGCATCAGGAAATACTCAGTTTTAGGTATATATTGCTCCCTCTCTGCTCCTCCCCACATGCTTACTGATTCCCTCCACATTTTCCTCGCTTGTTCTCACCCTCATCCTCTAATCTGCTTATTATATACTGCTGAGTGCAACGATAATTGTAATGCAACTGTAATGTGATCTATAGAATAGTGGGGCTTTCTTTTTGACAGCGGGTGTAATGCATTAATGATTAATATATAAATGTGTTAGACATGGCTAAATCAGTCAGGAGGGTTCAACTGAATTGGGAGTACCCCTATGTGTGATTTAGAGATGTGGCACACTGAGTGATCACTCATAGCTGATGAGGGAGATTAGAGCCATTTTTTTCACCCTGATTTGCACTAAAATCACTGCAGACAGGAGAAGGAACATCCAAAGCTTTTTATTTCTCATCAGTGGCAGAGCGCATTCATAGCGGTAAGAAACTGGATTTCCTTGATCTGACACAAATATAGCAGCAGCCACCCATGTCTGTTTGTTGTATGTAATCATCATGCACAGTTAATATGCAGACAGCCTCTGCAGCCTATAAATACTCCTAAAATTCATCATACTATGAAGTTAGGACTTCCTTACTGTGGAGTATGACCATAAGCAGTAACTGTCAATTCAGTGAATCTTCCACCTACATACTTTGTATACATACTGACAAGGCCTTTCACCAATCTTACAAATATGATTTACAAAAGTAGCACACGATGAGGGCTTGCATATAGCAGTTATAAATGCATATATGCATATAGCAGTTATAAATGTTAATCAAAAAGGGCTACCACCTACTCTTGGACCAGGTTGGTTTTGGGTAATTAGTAGGATGTGTGGTTGAGTTTATCACCTGTGGCCCACCAAGGAGGGAGAAGACTAGATTAATCATTGACTCTTTTCACTGCAATAATAATAATATGAGTGTGAAGAAGTTTAAGAGGATCAATATGATCCAACAGGCTCTGGGAATCACAACACAATTTAAGTGGCCGAATTCTTCAACTCTTATTTCCTGATGATTTATGATTGTTTCATTCATTTTTGCTCCTTCAGTTTTAGCATGTGGCTAAAAAGTTTCCATGTTTCTCCTGCCTCGAATAGTTCATACTGAAATTGATTGAATTGCTTTAAAGGCTGGCTTCGGATTACCCTATCAGTAAAATTGCCTTAACAGGGATTTGAGAAGCTAAGAAGGATTTGATGAAACTTCATCCGAATGAATTAATCTTAATAGGTAGCAGGTGAAAAAAATAAACAAGCAACTTGCACGTGCCACTTAGTGGAAAGATTAGATATATCGGAGAAGTCTAAATAAGGAGTCACATGCAAACTCAGGTGCACACACTTTGACAATTTCTCTTCACCTGTCCTTCTCTCTTGTTTTTAGGGTGGGCTGTGACTGATAGCAGACAAGAAGTCTTTCTAAAAGGATAAGAATTATAAATTCGACACCCCCTGATGCAGCTTTTGCCCTGATTTAAAGCCGTTGTTTTCTGGCCGTACTTCCTGGCTTTGAAGGATGGGTGATGGGCCTGTGACTGATCTTGCCTGCCTGCCTCATCCCATCCTTCAATGGAGCCGATGTGGAACACCTCCCACCCACCTCCACAGCTCATGTCCAACATGTCTGCCTCCTCTCTGCCTGAGGGCTGGGCTCTGTCTCAGACCCTAGCCCTACTGGCCATGCTGCTCATGGATCTGCTGGCTGTGTTGGGTAACGTGGCCGTCATGGCGGTGATTGCCAAGGCCCCACAGCTCCACAAGTTTGCCTTTGTCTTCCACCTGTGTGTGGTGGACCTGCTGGCGGCCCTGGTGCTGATGCCCCTCGGCATGCTCTCGAGTCGAGCCTTCTTTGGGGAAGCCCTGTGTCGGAGTTACCTCTTTCTCAGCGTGTGCCTGGTTAGTGCTGCCATCCTCTCCATCTCTGTCATCAACGTTGAGCGTTACTACTACATCATACACCCTATGCGCTACGAGGTAAAGATGACTGTTGGTCTTGTAGCGTCAGTACTGGTGGGGATTTGGGTAAAAGCTCTGGCCATGTCTGCTCTGCCACTGCTCGCTTGGTTCCTGCAAGGTGGGAGAACTCCTCTTCTGGAGGGAAGTGGGGTTGGGGGAATAAGCGGTGGGGCAGTCGCACCTCCAGCTGCTCAGGGTCATAGGCGCTGCTCTCTGCATTGGACAGGGGGAGCGTCAAACCGCATGGCCTTCATGGTCCTGTTCACACTGGTCTATTTCCTTTGTCCTCTAATGCTCATTCTTGTGGTGTACTGCAATATGTTCAAAGTGGCTCGGGTTGCAGCAATGCACCACGGCCCTCTGCCCACATGGATGGATACACCTCGTCGCCAGAGGTCGGAATCACTCAGCAGCCGTTCAACGATGGTAACCAGCTCTGGGACCGGGACCGGGACGGGAAGAGGGACCCCTCAGCGACCCTTTGGGGGAGGAAAGGCTGCAGCAGTGCTAGCAGCAGTGGGTGGGCAATTCCTTTGCTGCTGGCTGCCCTACTTTACTTTCCACCTGTATTCAGCACTGGCTGCCAGCCCTCCAGCCACACTGGCCTCTCTTGAGGAGGTGGTCACATGGATCGGCTACTTCTGCTTCACCTCCAATCCTTTCTTTTATGGCTGTCTCAACAGGCAGATAAGGGAGGAGCTGGGCAAGCATCTTCCTTGTCTATTTCGTCGAGCAGGAGCCGAGATGGAGGAAAGACTTCCCAGTCGTGAAGGATCCATAGAGGAAAACTTCCTACAGTTTCTTCAAGGCACTGGTTGCAACTTGGACCCTCAAAACTCTCACAGCACCTCCAGTCCAAAAGGTGAGGCTGGCTGTCCTGTGGCTCAGCCCCAACCACCAGAGCCGACACAGCCCATACCCATTGATTTCCGAATTCCTGGGCAAATTGCAGAGGAGACTTCAGAGTTTATTGAAAATGAACAGGCGAAAAACAACCATATATGTACAGACAATTAAGTTTGAATTCCTTTATTTCCTGATTATAAGCCTACTTTTGATAATTCAGACATGTGCAGTTTCAGGATATATTCCAGTGAAAACAAGATGATCTATCTCTACTGATGGCTGTCCACTTCATGTCAATGAGTTTAAATTGTACCTTTGAATCATTGCACTTTAACTCACCAGATTTTGTCCTTGAACAGTTATGTTGACACAATTTGATGCAGTTGATTGCTCTGATCTGTACAGTGAAGGAAACAGTAAAATAACACTGATGTAAGAAGCTAAAGTCCTTCTTTGAAAAAGAAAGAAAAACCTATAGAAGTATATTTTTTTATTCCAGAACTTTGAGGTACAGTATTCCTTCTGATCTCCTATTAGGGAAGGTTACCTGATACATTGACTTCCTCTCAATTGTACCAAAGGCAGAATGCTATAAGACAAACTGCCTTAGATATTCAGAGGACAAAGTGTTCCAACAAGCTAACTGACACTGTATTTGTGACTGTAAATTATTGCAACAAAAGTAAAGACATGGTAGACAGCAATAAAATTGTAAACCGTATTTAGGGGATCCATTGAGGAAAAAGCACTACTGTCACTTTTGATTGGCAGTGGGGCTTTCGTTGTGGATAACGCCGCTCTTAACCCATTTGCCAATCTGCCAATTATAGTTGATGAGGAGGTGTACATGTTGTGGCTTAACTCTCATGGAATCACAAGTTGTTTACAGATAGATCTGATTTCTTTCCCTCCTTGTCGGTGCTTGGCCATACGTATCTTTTTTATGTCCCGAAAAGAAAACCAGATCTTTCGGGAAATCAGTGTAGGACAAAAGTTGGATTAACTCACCCAGCTTCCTGCCGTGTGATGTATTTATAAGTGTATTTGGATATAAAACCTAAAAAACAACATTAATTGATGCACTGCATTACATTCAAATATGATTCTCCCATTTGCAATGTACTAAACTGTGTGTTAAGTTAGTAAAACAATATGAGTTCAGGGTTATGTGTTTCTCTTAATACGCACATTTTCTTTTCAACTGTGAGTCTAAGTACTTGTTTGAATGTTATTTTGAGGAGTATTTTAACTCATATGCAGTAAATGCCTTTGTTTCTTTTGTAGAGATGATTTTTTTTTTTAAATCCAAGAAGTAGAAAACTTTGACTACCCTGTTGTATAACAGCTTTTTATACAGTACCTCATGTGCAGGAAAAGAAAATAAACATTATTTTACAATCCTGGACAGTTCCCGGTCAAGTATGACTCCTGCACACTCTATTCCAATGTTGTAAGACGACTAAAGCTGGGGTCAAATGTGAGATGAGGTTTTTATTAGAAATGATGGGACAGTTTTTGCTACATTTTTCAGCTTAGGTTTGATAATGAGATGAATAAGTATTTTATAGCAAACTGGTGTGATAAACTATGATGCGTGAAAATGATTGATTGAATTAACTGAATCTTTTCTTACATTATGGAAACAGGGTTTTAAAGACATTTTTTTTAAATCAAAGGTTGTTTTTGAGTGACCCTGCCAATCCAAAATCAAAAGCTTGTTAAGCTTGGTATCTGCTTTTCATCACGTCTAAATATCCAAAACTGTGAATGACATTCGTTTTAGGATTTACACTTGTTCAGAGATTGTTTTTTATGCTGTGATGAAAACAAAAGAACGACTTCCACTATACTTTAATAAGATAAATGGGTTTACAAAAATAAATTGTTACAGGCTGAACAACAGATACTGTTGTAATAAAGAGTTTCTATGTTTGTAAAACATTTTGGATGCATTTTCATAACTTTAGAGTATGGCCTTTACCTTCTTTTATACAACATTTCTGTGCTCTGCTTCAGTAGTGTTATTTCATTGCAAGGGGGGGGGGGGGGTACAGGGATGCAGTTCAAACACTTTGACCTTAAAGTAACATTTAAACTTCAAAGGCAAAAGCCAGTGATATGACCTTTATTTCAACGAAAGAGATGGATGAATGGATGGATGGATAGATAGATGTTTGGAATCTGCTGGTGCGCGACAGGCCTCACACCTCAGTGATGGACCTCTGCCAAACCGCCCCCAGCTTCACCAGGCTCCCAGGCTCTGCCATCCCCATGGTAATTATTACCTTGTGACATTTCTCAGTGTTGTAGTGGGAGGGAGGAGGAGCTTGCTCAATTGGAAATCCAAGCCAGGCACCATTATCTGTGACTTCTTAAAATACACTCTCTAGACTAAACCAGAGCTGATATTTTTCTGTTTTTATGATTTTTTCATTCTTTGATTTGAGGATTGTAGGCATATGTGAGAACTATACTGAAGTAAATCAGCATATTCTGCTCTTTAGAAAAAAAACATTTACTTGATTTTTTGGAATCTTGGATTGGTCAACCATAATATATGGTTTGTAAATTGTAATTTGAACCCAGGGTGTACACCGCCTCTCGCCCAATGACAGCTGTTATCGGCTCCAGCCCCCCATGGCCCTTAACAGGGAAAAGCGGTATAGATAATGGACGGCTGGATCTTGCATTCTGATAAAGACACAATCTTGATTCAAAGTAAATGATAACGAATCACTTTTTGTTAAGAAATCTCAGACACGTATCCTCACATTTTGCCTTTGATAAGGCAACTTCAGATGTACATGGACTTTCTTTCAAGCAAACTATATATATATATATATATATATATATATATATATATATATATATATATATATATTCAAGTTATAGTTCAAGCCAATGAAATTAGAATCAACAATATAATTACTTAGTGTAAAGGGCAAAGGGTATTAAGCTAGAGCAAAATGATGAACAAATGCCTGGAAAGAAGAAGTGAAAGAGGGAAGTCCAACACTTTATCTGCACTATTTCCTGAGGGAAATATCATAAGCTGCTTTTAAAATCAACTAGTTGTTACTTTGCTGTTTGGTGCTGTAAAGGTTACTATAAAGTGGGTTTATCAGAATTTTACACTGACATGAGAGTAACCTACTGAGATTGAACAATCATCTTAAATGAGCTAGAATGACTGGAAGAGATAAGATGAACTCCACACTTTGTGAGACTTTGTCACAGAAAATGACATGAGAACGCTGGTATAACTGTAGGCCTATTTGAATGTTTTTTTAAAATATTTTAATGCTTTATTCAATAATGGTTAACAGTTATAAACTCTTGAGTCACGTATTTAGGCTTATACTCTCATCAATCCAATTATTATTTGTATAGTGCCAATTCATAACGAATGTTATCTCAAGACATTTTACTAAAAGCAAAAAGTAAAATACATTTCTCTTTTTTTAATAAACGTTTTTAGAAATAAAAGTCAAATATTTCCATCATTTGAAAACAGGCTGCTGTAGTCTACTTACTGTAACTAACCTCCAAAGAGAACCACACTAGTTTAATTTCCCCATTAAAAAAACTAACATGAAAATTAAACTGGCATTAACATTTTACTGGATTTAAAACTGTTCTTTTTGAGAGAAGAACTGTAAATAATTGATTTCCAGTATTTGGACCATTGGACAGAAGCAGAGCACAGACACGGTGGGCGGCTCCGGTTAAGGTAAAATGTCCTCTTATCTTTAGTTTGAGGAAACAACATGAAAACATTGAAACCAAAAACAATTGTGTTGAGACAATGAGAAGATAACTCTTTGCTAGCTTAACGTTTGACACTGTTTCCCCTTTACTTTAGGTATAACACTTTAGTAGACTGTAACGGATGTGATCTATAGGTAGCTAACGCAAATTCAGGAATCCAGACTTGGTCAAATAAACGCAATTGTAGTATGTGATTAACTTTTAAAGTCGTTAGTGAGATGACTTGAGCAATGAAAAGCACATTAGGTAGGCTACTATATATGTCAGGTGAGAGAAGCTTGGTTTGAGTAAACTTAACAGTGATATTAAGAAGAACTACTTGAGATAACCTCGGTGTGACTGATAGCTTATCAGGTCGCTTGCTAACTCATCTAGCGTCAGTTAGCATAACATGCTATGCTTTTTGTTTTTAACAGACCGTGCAGTGATTTGTTTAAGGTTTAGTGTGACATTTTGCTGTATGTCTTACAGAATATTTCCTGTCTCATATCAAGGCCTACCTCTGCTCCCAGCACGTCCTTCACTATGTCAGATGGTAAGTCAGTGATACAGTGCGAACACTAAAGTAAAGAATCTCAACAAATGTACGTTTTTATGTTAAAAGATACATGTTAACACACCATGTTCCTTTCACTTATAGGACTTATAGCTTAGAGGGTCTGAAGACTCCTGCTTTTTCCAGCTATTATATTTCGTTGTAACCCAGACGTCATGATAGGACATGATGCCTCTAATCACCTGAAGTGGCTTGAACATCACCTGATACATGCTTTTATAAGTATGAATGTGTACTAGATTTTTCAAAAACAGTAGTCAATTCAGCTAGCTATACAACCTAAATTCCTAATTTCACTTAAGAGCAATTACAGTCAGTAGCCTACAACATATGGGATCCTTGCCTTGTACTTACACATGTAACCTAGTTGGCTTAAAAGTGTGTTTGCAGTAAAAGTATTTTAAGACCTATATTACTTCCCTAGTGCAAGCTATACTGACTGAGAAAGTGAGTTCTTCTACTTGTGAAGACGGCCAGCATTGCCTACATGTTGCAGGACGCATTGTGCATGAAAAAGCCGAGTCCACGCCCTGGCCAGTTGTTCTTCTGGGTCACTAACTTCTTACAATGACAGCACTGGTGGTGGGAAGAACATGGGTTTTCCCCCTCACCAAACTGCAGAGCTGCACAGAACTATAAATAGTATGGTCTAGACCAGCTCTTTTTTGAAAAGTGTCTCGAGATAACAATTGTTATGAATTGGCACTATAGAAATAAAGACTGATTGAGTGATTGAGAACATCAGCCAAAGGCATTTTGCACACTCTAATATACCTTCCTTATACAGTATAAATGACTTATTTCCCTGATTTCTGACTCTATCCACTATCCTATCCCTACAATAAAAGGCACAAAAAGCCCAAAAATAAATCTTAAAAAAAAAGTAACTCCGTTTTCTATAATGCTGAAACATTTCTGAGTTTGCTTTTTTGATGTTAGGCATCAGTCTTTAAGGACAAAATGTACGTAAACCATATAAAGAAATGATGCCTTGTTACATTTCCCTAGCCTGTGAAAAGCTATCTAAAAAAGAAAGTGAGTACACTGTTGTTTTTGGTGTGTGGCCTCTGCAAACAACATGCTAAATTCCATGAGCTTTGCTCTGAAGGAGTGAA